CGAGCAGTCTTCAACCGCATCCGATTAAACCTTGTATGGGCCTGCATGTACAACGTCATTGGTCTGCCTTTCGCCATGGGCCTATTTCTCCCCTTCGGCGGATACACGCTACCCCCCATGGCAGCCGGCGCAGCAATGGCAGCATCAAGCATCTCAGTCGTCGTAAGCAGCCTCCTCCTCAAATTCTGGCGCCGACCACGTTGGATGGATGCCGAGAAGCTCGAGAAGCAAGTGGAAATGGGCAATCTCAGCTTCCGCGGCTCTCGCAAGAGCTGGTGGGAAGCAGCCCTCTCCGTCAGTGGATCCAGTGGTCATGGTGGACCGTTACGATGGATCCAAGGCACAAAATTTTGGTCCTTTGTTACTGGTAAACCATCGGGTCGTTTGGACTCAGACGAAGGCTACGTCCCGCTGCAGACCGTTGAACCTGCTGTTTAAGCATAATTACATTTGTGGTTTGTTGCACTTTTGATTACGGAGTTTATACACTACATGCAGCATGATTAGAAGCATGCCTTTTCTTTAGTGCTATATAATGACCCGTCTGGGAATTGTCTGATTTGTTTCGGTTTGTTGATTATATTGCATGTTCGTTGTTTGGATTGATACGATACCTCTTGGTTATGTTTATAGCGTCTCGGTACAATGATACTTACTCATATCAGGTTGCTCTGATCGATTTTCGTAGCAAGAGGTATCTTCTGGTGCATCGATATTATGTAGAGAGCTTATACTGGTAATATAGCAACGACGCCAGATCTTGTCTTCAGGTATTTCTCGAAATTTCTATCTACCACTACAGAATATCATCAATCTTAATATACCAGCGTACATGGCGCACATCACATCATTAACAAGGCTGAAAAGGAGACAAAAGACCTGCATCACGCTCGAATCATATTTCAGATCGTCAATCATGAAACAACGCAAGCTAAGTCAAAGAACAGAGAATGGATAGCTTGCTTATGTGCAGAAACTGTTCGACTAGTTCATACCAATTCCATTTCCAAAACTAGGGTTTAGGTTGCTCATCCCCCTTCGCCGAGGCACCGGCCTCTTCATTTGCGCTTTTGGCGTCGTCTAGTGTGATGTCTCCGTCCCCGTCTGCATTTTCTTTGGTCGAAGTCTGGTTAGCACCATTGCCCTGCTGGCCGTTTTGCTCAGCGGAGTTGTTGTTGGCTCCTTCTTCATTCTCGAGCGTCATCTCGACCCCCTTGCCGTCTTGCAAGCCCATATCCTCTACTCCTAGTACCCGGGGACCCCGAGCATGGGGAATATCCTCTGAAGGGTCTGTCTGTTGGGGTCCAGTGTCTTCCATCGCCTCGTTTTCTATGACTGACGTTGTCGAATGGGTAAGGACGGGCTCTGCGGCGCCGTCTGTTTCTTGCTGGAGGGAATGCTGTTGTGGAGCTGCTTCAGACATAGCGTCGTGTTCTATTGATATGCCAATTAGTATTCAGTCTATAGGTTGAGAACCCGTATGGGAGAAGGTACCTTCGGAAAGAGAAGCTCCACCTTCACCCTCAGCATCCGGAGAAGCAACATTACTCAGCCAAGGAATGGGGGTGAGAAGAGCACCGCCCAAGGACTCGTCGCTGCCAAGAGCATGCTCCGAAAACATTGGTCCACTCTCCGCGCCATTCAGAATACCATTCGACTGATCCCCGCTTGCGTGCATCTTAAGCGGAAAGATATCCGCGCTGCTAGTGACCGACACGACGCGGTCGACCGCTCGCAAGTAAGCTGGAAGGGTCTTGTAGTGCTTGTTAGGACGAACAATAAGCTCTGCGAGCCTTTGAATCGTATGTGGTGGCTTAGTGCTGAATAGTGACCTCAATGTTGATTTGGCGGAGTCTAGCAGTAACTGGAGGGGAGTGGGCAGTTTTGGATCGGCGGATGACTGAGGCTGGGAGTCGGGATTGCGCTCGCCCGAGGGCTCTGTGGGCTGTGCGGATGCCTGGGACTCTGCTGGGGTGACATTCTCTTTGTTGCTGCTTGTGGGTATTGAATTGGGCTCTTGCAGGAAGGAGGCGGAGAGGCTGGAGGGTGGCTGTGGTTGTGAGATAGGTGCGGTAGATTCAGGAGGCACTTGGGGCATGGAGAAGACATTGTAAACGATCTATCCGGTGTTCCAGTTAGAAAGAAGAGGTTGAGAACAATGTGAAGGTAGGCGCGCACGTATTCCAATCGTTCGATCAACGGTTCCACCATGCTAGGCCATTTCTCACTGGAATAGGACGTCAGTGCTTAGTCAAGGGTGAGATGGCGATGTCTAGCATACAAGTCCATCGAGCCGCCATTGGCGACCGTCTCCAGTGTTTCTTCGTCTATCAGGACAATATCAGTTAGCTCATTTACATAGCTCCAACAGATGTATCTGGAAGACGTGGCGGTGAACGAGGTGGGATGGGATGAAGATATGGGCACCGCACTCAGATCCCAGTGTTCAGGGAGCTAAATTGCAGCTACGCAGGTACGACATACCTAGAGACATCCTCTCAAATGCGAAAACCCAGGGTTAAAAAGGGTGAAGTTGATATCGGACGCGATACGATGCGAAACGATAACGCCGAAGCTTTCTTAGGCGCGCGGGCGGGGAGGCGGGTAGCAACCGTGCCTTATTGGCCCGTGCAGACGCTTATCAATTGCCTCACGTGATGGTTATCGGGCCAATTTTTTAGAGGCGGAGAAGAGGGGCTCCTGATTCACTTTCTCCAGATCGTGTGGATTTGCGTCTCTCCGCGGCTCACTCTTGCATTCTGCACCCCGAATCTTTTTTTTTTCCCCTATATCAGAACCAAGAATGTGGAACTCTCCTAAGGTGGGAATCCTCGGCGGAGGCCAATTGGGCCGCATGCTGGTAGAGTCCGCCAACCGACTGAACATTCAATGCAACGTGCTCGATGCGGAGAACTCCCCGGCCAAGCAGATCAGCAGCCACGATGGCCACGTTACCGGTTCTTTCAAGGAACGAGAGGCCGTTCGAGAACTGGCCAAGACCTGCGACGTTGTGACGGCGGAGATTGAGCATGTCGATACCTATGCCCTCGAGGAAATCGCCTCCCAGGTCAAGATTGAACCCAGCTGGCAAGCGATTCGGACGATTCAGAACAAGTTCAACCAGAAGGAGCACCTGCGGAAATATGGTATTCCCATGGCGGAGCACCGCGAGCTGGTCGAGAGTACTCCCGAAGAATTGGCCAAGGTTGGCGAGCAGCTTGGATATCCTATGATGTTGAAGTCGAAGACTATGGCGTACGACGGACGTGGTGAGTCATTCATTGGCAATGGCCTATATATTGTTTCAAGGACTAATATGTACGGTTGTGCTTAGGAAACTATCGTGTTAACTCCAAGGAGGATATTCCCGAGGCACTTGAAGCGCTTAAGGACCGCCCATTGTATGCGGAGAAGTGGGCTTACTTCAAGATGGTTAGTGCTCAACCTATACTGCCTAAGAGGAGGGAGTTGCTAAGTATACAATAGGAATTGGCCGTCATGGTCGTGAAGACTAAAGATGATGTCCTGTCATACCCTACCGTCGAGACCGTCCAAGAAGACTCGATATGCAAGCTCGTCTACGCCCCCGCGCGCAACGTATCCGACGCCATCAACCAGAAAGCCCAGGAGTTAGCCCGTAAGGCCGTCGCAGCTTTCGACGGAAAGGGTGTCTTCGGTGTCGAAATGTTCCTCCTCGAAGACGACAGTTTGATCCTGTGCGAAATCGCTAGCCGTATCCACAACTCCGGCCACTACACCATTGAAGGCTGCCCCCTGTCTCAATTCGATACCCATATCCGCGCTATCCTCGATCTCCCCATCCCTCCCAAGAGCCTCGAGCTCCGCCAACCCTCCATCATGCTTAACATCATCGGCGGTGCTGCCCCTGACACACACCTCAAGGCCGCAGAGCACGCTCTCTCCATCCCCAACGCCAGCATCCACCTCTACAGCAAGGGCGCCGCTAAACCAGGCCGCAAGATGGGCCACATCACCGTCACCGCGCCTACCATGCACGAAGCCGAGACTCACATCCAGCCCCTAATCGACGTTGTCGACGAGATCCGTGCCCAGCGCAGTGATATCAAGACCAAGCCCCAGAAGTCTGGCCCCTCGAAGCCCGCACCCTCCGTGGCTGTCATTATGGGCTCGGACAGCGACCTCAAGACCCTCGTCCCAGGACTCAAGCTCCTTAAAGAATACTTCGGCATCGAGCCCGCAGTCGACATCACCTCTGCTCACCGCACCCCGGAGTACATGGCTGAGTACTCCGCCAGTGCGGCTGCCCGCGGTATCAAGGTTATCATCGCCGCTGCTGGCGGCGCCGCCCATCTCCCTGGTATGGCCGCTGCTCACACCGCTCTTCCCGTGATCGGCGTTCCGGTCAAGGGCAGTTCCTTGGATGGTGTAGACAGTCTGTACAGCATCGTGCAGATGCCCAGAGGTATGTCCAACCATGATCATATCCAACATATAATTCCTTACCAAAAAAATAAAAATAAAAAATAAAAAATAAAAGAAAAATCCACACTAACGTGTAATTATAGGTGTCCCCGTCGCTACTGTCGGAATCAACAACAGTATCAATGCCGCTCTCCTGGCCGCCAGAATCCTGGGCTCCTTTGACCCAGCCATCCAGCGCAAGGTGGATGCATATGCTGCGCAGGCCAAGACCGAGAACCTCGACTTCAAGGGTACTAAGATGCGCGAGCTCGGTTGGGAAAAGTACTTTGAGCAAATGTGAAAAGGGACTGCGAAAAGTTGGTTTAATAGAGGTTTAAAATAGACGTGCGATGTACTCATGAAGTTAAAGTAGTTATGTTTTTTTTGGAGATTTGTAGTTTTCATTTTATTATATGCCCAGTTTATTGTATCCTTTCTTATCTGTTGAGTGCTGCTCAAGGGTCATTATTATTACGGTATACTAAAGGTATCCAATGTATTGATATATGCTAGTATTTGGTAGTACTACGCATGTACAGAGATTATGTAGCATAAGATACAGTAAGAGCGGATTAGACATTCGATTAACTAAGTACGTTCCGACAAGTCCCAACTATAGAACATTAACACATAAGAGAAGGTGCATGATCATGATTAGAAGTTCCTGGCACCAAACCCATAATTCATAATTCAACACAAGGGGGTAACAGAACCAATATCACAAATACAAACTGAAATTGGGATATCAAAAACATATAAACAGCAATAGGATACATCTTTGGGGAGTCATTGATCAATCGTGTGCGAGGCCTGGCCACTTAAGCGGTCTGGGGGTTGAAAGCATGTTCAGCTCCCGGGATGGTAGCGGTGACACCATCCTGGGTGGTTTTGTAGCCACCATTTGAAGTGAAGGCTTTGTCAACCTGGTCGGAGAAGCCGTGAGCACCGTAACCGTTTGCCTTGTGGACGCCGTTCGTGGCACCATTGGTAACTCCATTTGTTCCTTTAACGGTAGCGGAACCATTCGTTGCCCCGACAGTGGTGGAACCATTGGAAGTGTGTGCACCGGTAGCTGCTGCGCTGCCGTTGGTCACGTTGTCATGAGCTATACGGCCTTGGGCGGTGGTGTGTGGCTTGCGGGTGATATTAGCAGGGGTTGGGATGTTTTGGGACTCAGCCGCATCGCCGATAGTGAAGATGGGCGATTCCCAGCGTTCTCCCCTCTCCGCGATCTCCTTATACTCAGTGGCCTTGCTGGAGATGCCACCAGGAAGCTTGATCTCCGGGAAGAGAGAATCATGAAGTGTCGTTGCTGTCTGGACCTTGGTGTTAGATGCGCGTTGGGCGACAGCCTGGGCCTTCTGCTTGTTCTCTTCCATCTTGGCGCGCGTGGCATCTAGATAGCGGGAGTAGATGTTGGGCGCGTTTGCGGGATCCTCGATGGCGGCTTCCTTTGCGCGCTTGACCTCGCTGTGGATCTCATAGGCAAACGCATCGCCCCTAGAGAACGCATCGCGAATCTGCTGCTCGAGGACCTTCTGCAGGACGGGGCGGACAGTGCGGAAAAGCAATGGCTTGAAGATCGTGAACAAAGCCTTGTGCTTGGACTTCTTCAATTTGATGTTGAAGGAGTCGATCTTCACGGACACTTTGTCCAATTTGACGAAGTTTTGACGGTCTTCCTTTTGGGCATTGGAAGCTGCGATTTTGAAGCCGAAGCCATCGCCGCCTAAGAAGATATCCATAACTCCTTGATCCGTGATGGCGGGGAATCCCTGTTTCTTGTTGATGTAGTAACTGACATCTGAAAAGTAGAGTTAGCACAGGGCTGAAGTTGTACGAGTCGAGTCAGACTTACCTCGCAAGTCAGCCTGGATTCCAGAAACAGAAACCATGATCTTATTGTCTCTCTTGCTGCTGATCTTCTTGCGTCCCCAACGGAGGTAGTTGTCACTGCCAAACTCGACAACATTCGGCATCAAGTTATCACTCTCGACGACAAGGTTCTCCACGACCTAAAGGAGGTTATAAGCCGAACCAGGGCTCCCTTCAACGAGGGTAAACTTACCACATCAGCCATAGGGTCTGACACCTCAATACGAGGGATAGGGACGTAGCGGACATTCTCAAAGATGCCAGGCAAAATGACATCCCGAAGGTCCGTAAGGAGATGTGGTTTGAAAGAGACGTTACCGCTAGAGTCCCGGCCGAGATCAGTGAACAGCCTCTCAACCGCTTCGCCGAATGATTTGTTTTGGGGATCCTGGGCGAACTGATCACCAATAAACTTGACTTCGTCAAGAATGCGGTCTGTATGGTCCCTGTAGCGTTCGCGCAACAAGTATCGGCCATGGTCGGACAGCTGATCATAATGGCGGTCCCAGTCTTCCTGCATAACGTAGCCTTGTTCCTGGAGAGATTTCCTGTTTCTTTTAGCGAAGCTTTATCAAATAATCTTCGTGCAAAGACATACCGGATGAATGTGTCCATGTTCTTGAACCATCCCTTGAGCTCAGGATCTCTGTCTGCATCCCGATAGATATTCTCTAGTGAGTCAAAAAGGTCGTCCAAAGACGTGCTGTTGGCGAATCGCTCGATCAAAACCTGTGATAGAAAATCAGTAACTGACGGAGTGCTTGCGCTTCAAAAGGAACATACCCGTAGGTTCTTCTCCATTTTGCTGATCTTATCAGTGCCACGAGTACCCTTAACAGTTCCAGCACCCTGTTGGGTTACATCTCTAGTAGTACTGCCATACTTCTCTGCGAGAGACAGCAAGGTCTCGATAGCCCGTTGATCTAAATGAGACTCATTAGCGTGTCATTTTGTCACCGAGATTGATGCTCGTTCATTCAGTCTGGGCAACTCACAGTCGGCACGACCCTGGATCTCAATGATCATCTTCTTCATGCGCCAAATAGCTTGTTCGCGGCGTTCCTTGGGCATCTTCTTCGACAGGTAGCCCTTTGTCTTACCGGCGAGATCACGAGCACGGGACTTCTGCTCCTCAGGGATGTTCTCGGAAAGCTTTTCCTTAGTCTTCTCAGCACCTACGGCGGCACCAGTACGGCCATCAACTTCCACAGCAGAATCCTGTCGCTGGTCACCAGTGGCGGCCTGAGCTGCGGTGTCGGCGACTTCGTTCGCTTGCTGCTCGGCCTTTCAATTGTCAAAACGGCTCGCATCAATCTAAAGACCAAAACTTACAGTGGCCTTGTTCCTCCTGAAACGAGAAGTAAACTGCTCTTTATGCTTTGCATAGTCAGGCTTCTCATGCCAGGTGTTATCCTCGGCAGGCTCGTCAACCTGTGCCAGTTGTTCCTTGGACGGCCGGACCTGATTGGCGGCCTTCTGGGAAGCATCGCCAGCAATATCGCGGACAAGGATCCAGGCATCGTTCACTTCAACTTGTTAATACCACAGCAGTCTAACAGGTCCAGAGAATACATACAGAGCTTTCTAAACTCTCCATTGGTAATCAGGAGGTTTCCAAGGGTCTTCAAGCCCTCTAGAGCCTCCCTACCATCCTGCTGGGCGGATTCCCTACTCAACGGGACATCTGGCTTCTCACCGACATGTTCACCAGTGATGCTCTGGGCCTCCCAGATGAACTCTTGAATCAATTGGCCGTCATTCTTGCTAAGGATGAGACGCTTCGCCTGCTCAATGACGTCGCGAACGTCTTCGATAAGGGCTTGTCCTTCTTCAGACAATTCTTTCGATGGTGTCGAGAGAGCTTTAGACTTGAGCGCGCTGTTTAGAGCAACGTCGCATTGCTTGTTCTGCAGCACGGTCATTCGTTAGTCGTCGGGGCGATGTCGATGGGATTGTGCTATGTCGTGATGTGTAAGACTCACTGATGGAAGCTTGCCATTTTTGAACGCTGTGAGACAGTGTCAGTGACTTGGCCAGAATATGACTACCTCTACCGGATATGTGAGGCGCTTTACCTTGGTATATTCCATAGAGCTGCAGCTTCTGGTTGATATCCTGTAGATGAGTAATTTAGGTTAGTATGGAACTTCCTGCCCCGGATAGGATGCGCCATCAACCCACCTTGTCCCTCTGCTTCGTATCGAGAGGGCGATTGACCAGCCGGGAAGACATGATGTCGGTTTTCTTGTCTCCCGGTGTTCACAAGGTGGAGAGGCGTATTAAAAACGTAAGACACCCTAATGATTTCACTTGGAAGGGACTGCCAGGAGGTCTGAAACGTGTCACAGAAAACGAAACGGTCAAGCAAAAGGGGTGAAGTCGAGCAAGATAGATTACAAGGGAGGATCGCGTTCTCTGGGTATCACTGGAATGAAGGACGCAAACGGATTTAGGTTAGGGTTGAATTAATTGTGTTTTGACTGGAATGCAACGCAATTGTGGGGGGGAAAAAATAGAAACGTTACAAGAAGAAGTGGATTACGAGAAAATTGGACACAAGAGGGGGTGGTAATGGATTAAATATCAATCATGGGGAAATTTCACAAGCAAGCAAGCAAGAAGAAGACGTTTCAGGCGGAATTGTAACACTTGACGTCACGGTGTCGTGGCTTCTGGACGTATCGAATTTTATTTGATTTTGATCGACTTTATAGGTACGGATTTGCTACCTTAATAAAAAAGCAAGCTTTCAATGCCTGGTCCCTGAGGCCATCTCTGGCTTTCCCCATGCTAGTTACTATGTATGTAAAGAACCCCGACGGATGAGGTCATCCAGTGATGACGAAGAACTGCAATGGTCTAAATTTCCCCCCTTGCAATATCAAGAAACGAACGGAGAACATCATCAAACCTTAACACCACCTGTCGAGTAGTGATCAGCGCCATGGGGGGTTCGTAGTATGTACGATGCGGTAACGATGGAGTCAACCGGAGCCCTATCATCGAACGTTGGGTCTCGAGCTAAAAAAAAAATCCTCGACTTCCAACCCTTAACCATCCTCGTGGGTGCCAAGAATTGGTGGTCGCAGGGCTGGACCTGGACAGGGAGCCTGGCCCGAAGATCTATAAAGGATCATATCCTGTTTTCCGTGCTGCGCGTCGATTCTCCGACCTCGAGCGGGATCTTGACTCGTAATTATGCTCTTGATTGTATTTCCACACGCCCCGGATATCCCAAGAGGGTAGGTAACCTGGAAGAAGTATCGAGTAAATACTCGTTGGTACTAAGGAAGTAAGTACATAGTATATACTTAGTCGTCGTCGTTATCTCGTTGGTTGTCCCTTACACTCTCTCCACTTGATACCGCGGCAACGCATCACAATGACGTCACCACCTAGAGCTCGATTCAAATCCATGCTTCAACACGAATTGCCTATGGGAGGTTGCCTGATATCCCTTCTTTTTTTTTTTTTTTTTCTTTTCTTTTTTTTATACGTAGACCCAAATCGTCATGTACACAAATACGTATTCTGTATACCTACCTAGAGTTGCTGTAGAGCTTATGGGTTCCGATGTGGACCCCTTAGGTAGGCCTTGCCCTTTCTGTCCCCCAGGCTTAGCGCCCCGTCCGTTCAGCATTAAGCCTCAATTGTGGGGGTACAAGAAATGTGTATCAAATACCAGGTAGAGATTGAAGCTGTTGAGATCTACCATGTTCATATTTTCGCCCAAGTAGTCTTTCTGGTAAATTCCCCCCAACCCCAAGAGAAGAGAACCCTGTCACCTGCACTTATCATCTATACCGGTCTTCCATCACCTTACTGTGACGGGCCATGTCGAGTAGAATATGTTATTAGGTTGGCTTTAGGTGTGCCGGGGTAGACTCTTAGACATGGGGAAAGACACGATGAGGTTAACATAAAAGACAAACGTGAGTAACAGACCAAGTGACCCCATGTTAAATCATTCCTTCTTGATCTACCCTTTTTTGTTCGAAGGAGTAGATCGGTCAACCTCAAGCTTATTCCTTGTATTGCAGCATGCATTTCAAGGTCCATTGGCTTCAACAATAACCACTGCTTCCCGGACATAAGAAGATACGTCAGGCATACTACAGCGTAACAGATGCACCTATGCACTACTGCTACTACATTGCTCAACATTTCGGTTAATAGCGCATCTATCATAGATATGCTAGTTAAAGAAGAGCCGCACAGCAGTTGCATACTTTTTTTTTTTTTTTTTTTGAAGACGACCTAATATAATAGCACAGAGATTGCTGTCATTAACAGATGCAGTGATATGGTATGTAATGAGCCTCTTGCTAGATCTAGTTAGCTAAGAAAGGGAACGAGATGAAGAAAGAAAAAAAGGAGGGTTCGGGGGGAAGAAATAGTTGGACTTGTACTTTGACAATCGTGGGGGAAATGATGCTCATTTAAGCCTTCAGCCCTGTACATATTTAAGTTCCCGAACCATACTCTGTAGGTAGGACCCTTATTCATTTCCCAAATAAGGGGTTAAATTTACCCTTGAGTCTATCATATATATGTAGTATATACTAGTAAGCAAGCCCTTGGTAATAATACAATCAACTCGCCATGGCGTGGTCTGAAACGATTGAAGGCATCATCATTCAACATTCAATAAAGGGGCTCAGGGAACGCCGAGGTGTGTTGGTATTCTAGAAAGACAACATATCGTAAGGTCCAGCGTGATCTCTCGGGTATGGGTTATTATCGCGACTGAAGTATAGTACAGGAGAAAGGTATATAGCAATGAACACAGGGAAACTCTAGGTCTTAAGTCACCAAACGCATGTCGTACTAAACCATGTACCTCGGTTCTTTAGCAGTTGAGCTCTTCCTTTCCCCATAGCAACTCCCCCTGCAAAGGAAACAATCCAAAATAGTAAGGCGAGTATCAAGAATTTACGCAATGAGCCAAAGCGATAATATGTCAAACCTTTACTAGTACATTGGTTTGGCTTTGTGGTGGGGTTATTTAAAACCGTGCACCTGAGCCCTGTAAAGAAGAGCAGGTACCGGGTGGATTGACTGGAAGTATGAGAGCACGTACACCCATACACATGAAAGACGTATAGATAAAGCAAAAAGAACTAGGGGGGAGTGGGGCGCAGGAAATGAGGCACTGATAGGAGAAGACCATACGCTTCGCAGAGCCTTGATGTTGCCACATACCGCAACAGTAGACCCCCTGATTCTTTAACCCCCCACAGGAGCACCTGAAACGCATGCCAAAGTCCACTCACGAGGATATGCTGAGTTTCACCTGCTACATCGCGCTCGTTCCGCACCACACAGCGACTGAGTTTCTTGGAAAAATGAACAAGGATGAAAGAAGAGGATAAGGATCAACAGGTCAATCAGTGTTTGAAAATGGAGCTCAGCAAGCCAGATTGTCAGGGACCTAGAGCTTTCAGGATAGGCAAAAAGCTCAACACGATAACTCGAAGATAGGAAATCATGACATCGAGACCTTGCCACCAAAACTAGGGGAGCAACATTGGATAACCAGCAAAGAGCAAGAATAGAAGAAAGAAAAACATTGGTTGGCCCTTCACCGGGCATTAGGATTATAATGCCCTAGAGTAAGGTCAGAATACACAGTCCCCGCGCCAGGTACAATCGTACGTGGGCCAGCCATGTAGGCACCAGGTCCCGGGAGATAAGAAACGGGAGTATCCATCAGTTGTTTCCAGACGGATGCTGAGTCCTGTTGAAAACCGTCGAGAAGGTCGTTGAGTTCCCATTTTATCGCACCGAATTGTAGCAGCTTCTGGATGTGATCTAGGCACTCAATAGCACGGCCATGGCAGTTGACAGTGTTACAGACCTCCAACATAGGCGGTTTTGGAATGTCATGGAATAGAGAGGGAAGCACGGGCACGGACGGGCTGAGGACAAGTTCGCAGTTTTGCTGTAGGATATCTACAAGTCGCCGGCTAACCTGATAAATTCGTCGAATATCGAGAGAAGTCATTAAAGGTAACCAGTTTCGTGTTCCCATGATGTGATGAAGTTCAGCGGCGTATTGTATGCAGCGATCGAAGAGTAGAACCTTCCCATAATCACATAGTTTGGAGTAATCCTGTGAGGGTGAAAGAATCATAATCGTGGTATACAGTAGCTCTGATCTGTAGAGTACTGGAAAATAGTTCGGTACATTCTTAGGTGTATTATCGAACCATTCCCGAGCTCTTGAGCACAGTTGCCACGCCGACTCCAAAGACAAGCCATCGGCATCAAAATACTTTGTCTGATAAGCCGAGGATAGGATCTCCCTGATTTCGACTATCTCCCACGCAGGCTTCGAACTGTGTAAGAAGATATGACTGTTCCCTGTCATCGCAGACCCAGATGTGGATGGCAGGGCAACATTTATAGAGTCATCCGATAATGAAAAAGTTCTCTCTAAAGCAGTGCTCACACTCCTCCACCTAAGAGTTAACGAACTGAAGATCTTAGAGGGCAGCGAAGAACAAACCTGTCCATGCAGTAAACACAGTGGAACACACGCCGGCGCATATCCAACTGTTCATCGGCCGGCAGAACCTCCGAAGGGGGGTCCTGGTGTAAGCCTAAGTCCACCAAGGCCCTGGCGGCCATTCCTACGAGGTACCACGCACGAAAATGTTTAGGGTCAAGGAGGGAATACTGGGCAAGCAGTAGTATGGCCTGAATGCCCACAACAGATCCAGGGCGGAGAACATCCTCGGCGAACGGCAAAGCTCCCGAAATTAAAGATAAAGCTCTCTGATGGCTCCTATCCCCGCTCTCATGAGATATAGATGCAGAAGCTATTGCTAGTACCAAACGAAGAAACCAATGGTCACTAGGCTTGGCAAAGCGACCACCAGCCTGATAAACAGTATCCACGGAGGTCCAGAAATTTGTCTCGCTGAAGAAAGGCATTTGGGTGAACAAATTGTCAAAGTAATGTTGCAGAAGCGGTGTAATCTCATGGCGTGCCGGCAATGACTGTGAAGACAATTTCGGGATAGGCTCGACGACAGAAAGTGATAGGAGTAAGTTTGCAAATGAAGTATCGGACTGAATTCCATGGAAGTCTCTGGAGGTAGCGTTCACAGATCTAGTCATGCTGTCAGCGAATATATTTACCGGGGGCTACGAGCCACAGACAGAAAGCCAAAGTCTCCAACTAGGTCGTCGATATCAGATATCTCTTTTCGGTGAGCCTGCCCAACGGTGCCTGCAGACGACATCGATGTTATTGAGCTCTCCCGGACGAAGCCGGTTCCATCAACTGATAATGACTCTTTATGGCGGCGGAGGTCTGCGATTTGCCTTTCGAGTCTTTCGCAGTAACCTTCCAAAGAAGCAACATAACTTCTCTCTTTCCCTCTAGCGAATTCATCACTCGCGCCTGAACAAGTACTCGCCTTCCCTACACGCTCACATGCGGAGCAAGCAGGCAGCTTCCCATCACATTTAACTTTGGCTGTCCGACATCTTGAACATGCGGCCACTGGCCGGCTGACTTTGAGCAGTGGCTTATCCAGAAAAGAAGCACTAGACGTCATATTGGTACATATTATCTATACGTCAGTTAGTCATATTTAACACACGAGCAAGTTGATCTCATTAATGTGCGCGCCTTGGACATGGCGTGGGGCGATTACAACGTACGGGTGGGAGATAGTTTTACCTACATAAATCAAAAGCTAAGGACGTGGCAAACAGAGATAGAGAGAGAGAAAAAAAAAGAGCCATATACGGGGAGAGTATATAAAGTTATCTTTCATAAATAGATAAGCATAACCGTATCTGCCATATGAAAAAAGACATCAGTCAAGCCATCCAAAACAAGGGGATATAGAGAATGTAGGCTAGACACAGCCTATCTGATGGGGAGGGGAGCCACTGACAAGATCAATGAAACTAGCAAGTCGGGTTAGCTCTAAGTTTTAGATTGTCAAGTCAAATGCTTCTTAAGGTTAATGGTGCATGCTGAGAGAGAAGGGGCAGAGGATCAATTGGAGGGGAGCCTCAGGCGCATCAGTAAGGCGGGTATTTTGTGGCTAACTGAAAGTAACGTAAGGAGCAGTCACGTAACTGATAGCAAGTCCTAATACAGTAAAGCAAGTACTGTATGGACTTCTGGAGGGCACTTGGACCTTCGATGGTAAGATAACAGTAAGAGGGCACAGTCATGGAAGCAGGCGATTACATCTATCATTGGCAGGAAGTTCTCAGATCCTCCCCCCCTCCAATTTTCACCCCACCTTTACTCTCGTGTACCCCCCACCGGGACCAAGCATCCACTTCTCAGCTTCATTCAACATGCCTCCCCCTACCAAGCATACCAAATTTCAAGGGAAAACTATGCAGGTACTACACTCTACAAGACTTTAGACTCAACGTCTTTTGCACACTCTGTTCATTTAAAATCACGCAAAACATTTCCCCCCTCCCCCGTTGGTTTTCTTACATATCATCAAGTCTAGTATTTGTTAAAATCGTAAATCTATAGCCGTTGTAATAATGATATAACTAATAATCAAAATGTGTAACCATTACCGGCAATTATGAGATCGTAACGGATACCGAGCTTGCCATCCCAAGGCACATAGAAGATGAATTGGAAAGACACCACCAACAAGAATCAGTCTACCAGCTTGAAGGTGTTTGATTGATTTGGCTGAATGTGTTCGCTCCTAAACAAGACGAAGATGATACTGTATGGAGTAAGCATTCCTCGTGACTAGTGACCCTCTCTCCTCCTCCTTTTCTTTTCTTTTGTTTTTCTTTTTCTTCTTCTTCTTCTTCTTCTTCTTCTTCTTCTTTCTTTTTTCTTTTTTTTTTTTACTGGTCATTCTCGCGTTCCGTAGTCCGTCATTCATTCATTTAGCGCGTTTGTCGATCCGAGCGGGACTGGACCGAGGTTTCGCCCTCTCAGTCCACTACCTCCTAGCCTCCTATTAACTGCATGGGGCATTTTTGGATTTCCAACTGAATGGACTCGACAGATCGGAACGAGAGCTAGCCATAGGAACGACTTCTGAACCTTCGGTCCTTCCGAATCTCCCATGCTTTTCTAATGATACTGTCGCGGATGCCCCCTCGCAGCTAGGCCACGTTGGAACGGATCCTGAATATGTCGAAAGCCTTGTTATCCCCGACCCTTTGCTATTGTTTCACAAACCTTTACACTTCGGGATTGGTCTGAATTGCCTTGTTGCGTGCACAGACTCAGTCTCATGTGATCGCATGGAATGTTGGCTTCGATCGTCACTACTCAATAGCAAGCAACTTCTGGTCAGCCGAATTGGGGACTGTTCGGCCCGTTACCAACCATGGCGACACAGCTAAACCCATCCTATACGAAGCCACAGTTCACAAACCCCTGGAGGAGCCCCTCATCGAAGACGTCTAGTCAATCAGACGAAATACCTGATGGTCGCATTGCACACACATTGACTGCCTGTACTAGATGCAGACAAGTATGTTTTAATCGGGTTCTTTCCTTATTATATCTAAGGTAGGCACAGTCAGGCTGAGACCAGCGCAGCGCAAATCTAGGTGTGATCCCGGGATACCGAGATGCTCCCCCTGCGAACGCAGTAATGCAAAATGCGTGTACTTCGATTCCGCCCGAAAGTGTACCATACCAAGGACGTACATCGTTTCGCTACGTGAGAAAGCCCGTATGTTGGAAAGGGAGCTGGAAGAGGCCGAGAAGGAATTCCAGCATGCAGCCGATGCAGAATTAATGGTTCGCGGGGCTGGTCGCATTCGGTTCAAGGAAAATGACGACTCAAGATTTTTAGGTCCGTCGAGTGGCATTGCGATTACTCGCTTAGTTATGGAGATGGCCAAACAGAATACAGACTCAAAGAGCATCAAGGACGTTGTACCCGAGTTGACGGCACACGAAATAAAGCAAGCGTTCGAGGAGGAAAGCTCTAAGCCAACATCAAAAGTTTACCCCATCATTAGCTCAAACCCGCAGCCGAGCCTCCCAGCGAAGCATGTCACTTACAGACTTGTTGATGTGTTTGTGGTCAAAGGTATCTCATCGCCCGTCAAGCTTACTGTTGCCCTATCCTACTTATTTCCCTGTCCAAATTGCTTGCTTGCGCGCTAACATCTCGCTAGCGCAAGCCATGCTCCCAACATTGCACGAGCCTACATTCCGCCAGGAGGTCGAAGATGTTTTCAGCGGCTCTAAAGATCCGTGCAAGAATTTCCAACTACGAATGGTGATTGCTATCAGTATGCAAAAGATGAGTACTGCTTATGCAGGATTAGCCGACAGCTATTACCTTGCTGCGTTACCCTTTCTAGAAGCCTCTCTGAGGCGGATGGACCTGAGAGCTTTGCAGTGTCTAGTTTTGATTGGCCAATATTCTTTGTTAACCCCGACAAGAACCGCCGCGTACTGGGTCGTTGGAATCGCTGTCAAATTATGTCAAGATCTGGGACTCACTGACGAAGCCACAATCACCAAGTCGCCCAGTGGAGAACTATTGAATCCCTTGGAAATAGACATGCGGAGGAGACTTTTTTGGATCGTCACCTCCATGGAATTTGGACTATCTCATAGTCTTGGACGGCCCAGTTGCTATTCTGTCAGCCACGATCATATTCGTGTTAAGTTCTTCGAATTGATAGATGACAAATTCATTACACCAGAGGGGATCCTTCCGGGAGGGAAACCGATACTACCTAAGTGTATCGCGATACATTTTTTCAAGATGCGATTACTACAGCTGGAGATACGACGAACTCTCTATCTCAATAAGCGCGATACTCCTGTTGACGATCAAGATCCATGGTTCCAGCAAATGCTCAATAAACTTGATTATTGGGTAGCCTCTTGTCCGAAAAACGACGGAGGAAGTGGCTTGAGTGAGAAGTGGTAAGGATACCGGCCTGAGTGATTGCTTGATAGTCTGTTTACCATATTACAGGTTTCATGGCAGGCGGAATACCATGATTGTTTTCATGTTTCGCCCTTCCCCTCAGGTACCTGAGCCTTCTGTCAGCGCTGCGCAGAAATGCTACGAGGCATCCGTCTTCAATGTGGCAATGCAACGAGAGCAAATTGCGACTAAATCGGTCGATTTGACCTGGATCTTCACTCAATCCCTTTTTATGGCGCTGAACACTATCCTTTGGTCTCTGTCATATCCTGAGATTCGAAGAGAGCACCCCGAAGATGAAGTTAAGCGCCACCTTGACGTAGCGTTAGAGGCCATCGTGCTTGCTGCAGAGCGATGGCCCGGCGTTGCATCTGCATTACTCCTATATAAGAGCCTAGTCGCGGCATGTCTCAAAGCATACAACACCGATGAATCGTTTGTCGTTCAATCTCCGTCCAATCATACAACACCAGCATCATCGCAGGAAGTTGCAACACCACCATCCATGTCAAGCCCCGCAAGCACCACAATGTCATTCCCAACCCAGAATCTTCGGGGTATGAATGCCTCAGTCCCTGACAGTTTGTCCTCGGGCACGCTGTCAAGAGGACATTCTGCAGATCCGACGTTCCCATTCTCAACCACGTCGCCTCCTTCGGAACCGATAAAAGTGGCTCCGTATCCGCTGTGGAACCCTCAACTGCAGTCGCAACAGCTTACTTCCTCAAGCGTAACGCCGACGCCATATACCGCCTCATCGTTCAACCCAACGAATGTCGCTTGCTCTGATGGACGGTTCGACCCAAATACGCCTTACAATGAGTTTCCCTCCATTGTTCCTGGTTTGCAAGGATGGGATCCTGATTTTACCCTTGCCTCTACGACAGCAAGCCACCTTGCGTATGTTGAAGCGACTGTTGACCCTATGAACTGGATGGACTCTATTGGCAATCAATACTCGCAATATTTTAATGAGGCATACCCTATTCCATCGTGGCGCGAGCGGACACTCAGCCAACAAGATCAGATGGAGCTGATGACGACGCTGGAAGAGAACATTCCTGATGTCTCAGCCCAACTTGTGCGGGAGTCTGCAACGTTTTACCAGTCCTAACAGGTTTGGGGAAACATTGGCAACCGAGTTACAATATGTTTACTATTACGAGAGTCGTCGTGGTTCTTCCCGTGCAGCGAGCGACCTTTGTTTTGATACATGAATCTAAATATACCCATGGGCGATTATTCAAAAAAGGGCTTAGGAGATATGGTTGCTTGGTGTTTGGTGCTAGTTTTGGCTTTGATTTAGTTTCACGGGTGATAAACTGTTAGGATAGGAAGGAACCAAGGTCTACAGAACTACTTTCCGATGTTGCTTCCTAGGCCTCGAGTCTGTTTTGTACTTCCTCAGCATGGGATGAATCTATCATGGTATGCTCAGGCCGGAATAATTCATTGTAGTAGCAATATGGGGTACTCTGTACGAATAGAGGAGGCGAATTGGTAAAAGGTGGATCACCTGCGGTACTAAAGTGGCTGGGGTTTCAAGAGGCTGTAACGGTGTTCGTTCTATAAAACCGGAAATACCCGCATTCTTCATTTTATGTTTCTTTTCTTTTCTTGTCCTTCATCAGCAGATATCAGGTGTTAATGAAATTAAAAGCAAAAGTTGAGAAGGTGAATGGCATCAACAGTGCCATTGAAGTAGTAATCCTGGGGCATTGTACGGAGTACTGACAAGAAAAATGCTCATTGGATCCAATTCGCCGCTAACTTCCTTGGCGGTTAATTGTAAAATCCAATTGAATCCAGAAAATATTGAAAGGTCGAAATCGTATTGACGGGTATTGTAAGTTACAAGCCTTGAAAAAGGGCTCGGTCACGTGCACTTCCGGTCTCTTGCCGTCATCCAACATCTCAAAGCCATCCGTTTCTCTTCCAGTGCGGACCAAAGGGCCATCGCTCACTCCACCATCGCCGAGTTTCGCCTTCCACTCTTTTATATTGCTCATCGAAACGCTTGCTCGACAACATTCTGGTAGCGCTCAGAATCGGATCATTGGAATGTGTGCATATTAGACGGCTGTTGAACGTCCTGCTCGCCCGCTTGAGCGAACCTCGACCGGCGTGATTTCAGCCCCCCCCCTCATAGCCTAGATCTGCTTTGGTCTGCCCTTGAGTTGAGAGTCTGTGATATAGACCTCCTCTTGAGGCCGCAGGACTCAGGGCTGCTCCGGCTCTGATCAATCTCCTTTCTCCGAACCTTCACCCGAGACCCCATGTCCGATCGCGCCTCCTCGGCGTCATTCCGGTTAGGGCCTCCTTCGCCATCGTCTCCCGCCGCTGGGTCTCTAAAAGCAAACCACCCTTCCTATACCTCAACCGAACACACTCCACAAACCCCGACATCTCCTCCGTTGATGTCGGTAAGCGCTCAGAACTATGCCTCCAATTTCGCATCCTCGCAAACATCACCTGGCCAGGCAACGTCACAACCTGCAAACCTCTCCTCGCCACCTTCTTCCGTGCCGATGTCTACTCAAGTCTCACAGCAACCAACAGTAGGTACAACAAATTCGTTTCCGACACCGGCTAGCAGTGTGAACGGTCACTTCACCGGGGCAACGCCCGTTGATGATAGCGAACAGACAGAGAAATCATTCGGGCCGGAAATGGGGGCGACTTCCACAGCAGATATGAATGCGCCCATTCAACAGACAGAACACAGACGGACAGACCATGATCGGCAGTCGGAAGGTCCAAGTGCGCAAAGCGGAGTCCGCGATTTTGGGGTCACGGGCGATCAGAATATGTTGAACCATGGCGATGCCATGGATATCGACAAGGGAACGGCGGATCTATCTAATTATGAATCAAGTCTAGAATCTCTGCAAAAAGAGTTTACGTCGGCCTTCCATCTTTGCAAAAGCTGTAAGAGCTCCCCAATACCAATCCTTGGTGCGGCTGTTGCCGTTTTCATAATGCACTCTGGTCCATCATTTCTTGGATTGAGATATGTTAACACTGTGCTATGAAATATACAGCCCATATTGCGACTGGTCCGGACCCGTCGTATGATCTTGTTTCCTTGTACGGGCTTGGTCCGGTTGCGAAATCGGTTGCAAGGATGGATCCAGTAACTGGGGAGAAGATCAACAGACTACGAAAGTCGTACGAAGGCAAACTGAAAGGCCTAGGCTTAGCTGGGAGAAACAAACCTGTGAAACATGAACCCGGTATGGCCGGTGGGCTGAGGCAAATGACGATGTGGCCGGAAGAAGAGTGGCAAAATCAGAAGGTGTTCGGAAAAGAGATCAAGGTTGCTGATATGGATTCAGCGTTGCATAACCTTCAGATGAGAGCCATGAAAATGGAGCCGGGCACAGTCACGAACAACGATTATTGGGAAGATATCCTTGGTCACGAAAAACAGTCGAAACATGCCGGAAGTGGGGATGGTAGCAAAAAGGCTGCGACACCTTCCAATGGCGCACGAGTGCCCAGTCAAGCGAATGGGACACCCACTGCAGCTGAGCCAGAGCGGTCTCGGCCCAGTCGGGGACGCAAGAGACATTACGATGATAATAGCTTTGTTGGCTACGGCGAAGGCTACGTAGACGACGATGATGATGGCGCATTTTATTCCAATAGCGAAGGGATTAGCAAGAAGAAACGGAAGAAGGTATAGCGTTTCATCCTAGAATAATTTGCCTTGACTAACGTTGAATCGAAGGATCATGTGTCGAAGATATCAACTCCTCTGCCCGAAAGAGGTGGAAGTTACGGGGTCGGTATGTACGGCATTGGGGCCAGGTAACCGATGAAAATTTGGTAGACCAAAAGCAAGTTGCGCTTTGCCCTATTTTTCTTCCCTTTTTCTTTTTTCTTTTTTTTTTTTTTTTCAGTCTCCATGCCTTCCCTTTCCCACTCATTCCACATCTCTACGTGCATAGGTTTCAGGCTCAAAAATGAGGACTAGGCTTTGGATCTTCTGGTATGCTTTGGTAGATCCAGTCACCGCAGCATCCTCACCGATCTATCATTCTCCGTACATTTTTGCATCATGGTGCTGGATATACCCGGCTTTATCAATTGGGCGGCGTTTAGGGGAGCAATAATCGTTCGGAACAGGTTTGTCTTTCGTATCCCTTGGAAGGCAAAAGATTCACAGCTTAATGTTCATGTTTAAATGCGTTTGCTTGTTCACTATTTGATCTGATCCCGTTGGATTTCGCCTTGTTTTATTCTCGTCCTTTTGCGATGGATTGGATTTTCTTTTTCCGATGATGTCCATCAATCACATTGAAGATGGCATGATTCGATATTCACTTCGTGGGTGACAGGGTGTCCGACTGTATTTCTTTCGTCTGTTTACTTCGGACAGTGAATGTTTATTAGCAGTACAGGCAGCAGGCATCAAGGATGCCCGTGATATACTACTAGATGGGTAGGAATGATACCTATGATACAAAATAAAAGATGTAGCTTACAACTGACGCCCTCCAGTCGCACTGAATAGATTTGGTTGTATCAGACATTCTATTTAATAATGTTAAACTCCTAAAAGATTCGTCCGTTGCATTGCCGTCAAGCGTCCCCATTGGCATTCTGCTCTTCGCGCAACTTGCGCTCATCTCGACTCTCACTGGCCGGATCAAAGTAAGCTGACAGGCCCGGAGCTGTCAGTTCATCTATATATCTGTAATCATTGATGTCTCATTCGGGCACTCACGCTTCTCACCGAAGACGGTTGTTCGAATTCCTCGTCTGTTCCCTTTATAACTTCCGGGGATCACTCGGTGAAGGGTACACCTATGACCAGTAACATAAGCATCAATCAAAAACTGAATAGTACACTCAAAAACTGTCTTGAAAACAGAAGATCAAGAGGAAAAATAAACAACATAAGCATGCTTACCGATTATCCCACATTGCAACACTACCCACGGCCCACTTCCAGCGCACGTAATGATCATCAGCGGCATGGGTATGATGTGATAGGAAATCCAGAAGCTTGTCTAAAACAGTAAATCATATCAATATTGAATAACCATAGAAGCAACCGTCACTGTTCCTAGGCAAGAACAGGAATACTAACCTGACTCGAGCTTCTTGAGTTCGGCAAATCCGGTTACGAACCCGTTGTTCACGTTCAGGGCTTTCAGTCCGGTGACTGGGTGTGTTCGGACGGCGGGATGGTGGGTGTCGATGGGTGGTCTGTTTGGTCCGACGCCCCAGAGATCTAGGATTGTGTCATCTGTTTGTCTTTTGTGTTAGGTTGGGTTTTGCTTTTTGGATAAGGGTAATGGAGGAGGGGGGGGGCACGAGCACAGACACTGGAGTCTGGAGGTGTGTACTGCGTGGAGGCCATCGAGGAATTTCTTGTATGCGTCGCTGAGGGCGTCGTATAGGCCGTATTGGGAGACCTGTTGGTTTCCTGAGTTAGATGGGGTTACTTGGCTTAGATTGAAGGAGTGTGGTATACCCAGGCTGTATCGCCTCCGACGTCTGGATGCTCTTCCATTCTCAAGAGGGAATATGATGGCGCTAGTTGACGAGGTAAGTAAATATCCAATGTTATACTTATTCAGTGTGCAAGACATACGGTTAATCTCAAACGAAGTATCTGCGTGGAATTCACCACTCGGCTTTGAGAAGTTACAGTTACATTGTGAACAACTGGTGCAGACATATGGAACGGTGGTCTTACCCATGGGGTGTAGTTGGCAATCTCGCGATGATCCTCACGGCTACCGTGAATATTCACGAACTATTTGATATCGTCAGTAGAGAAAGAGCATCCAGGTATCGAGGGCTATCCGACTTTCTGATCCTGTGTAGTCGTTAGCCCTAGCTGGAGCGCCGCAATCCAGATACTATCTTCGCACTCACCTTCTGGGCAGGATGCTTATCGAGAATTCCTATACGAACCACAAATCAGCATGGAGACCTTCCCTGTTGAAATATTTGCCCTACGCTACTCACCATAATGCTGAAATAAATCAACTTGCTTTTCCGTCGTCAAGTCCTGGTCCCTAAAAAACACCACACCCCTCTCGGTCACCAAAAGAGCCAACTCATCGAGTTGCTGCTCGTTCAGCTGAGACAGTTGCACATTTTCGAGAAGGGTGCCGATTGACTCAGTCAAGTCCACTGGCTTGGCTACAGAAAATAGAGATTTCTTGTTAGGGTCGGCAAAGAGTGCTCGGTCTTTTGGTGGACTGAAGGGTTCACGGATGGAATCTGGAGGGACATGGTGTTTGATTTTGGGGTTGAAGTTGGGGTGAAGGGTGATTGGGAATCCTGAGTCGGGAGATATGTGCTTGCGCGCTTCTAGGTGGGCCATGCTTAGATATGAAGTTGATGTACCTGCAGTGCCAGTTTCGAGTATGGAGCACGAAAGGGAGATTTATATGTCTTATTAGAATGGGTTTACTTCTTCTGTACGGCAAAGACGGCTGAATGTCAGACAGATTCACTAAGCGTGCTCTCAACAGCCAATCGCTTTATATCTTCCATTCGTTTTGTTATCATTCGAATACAGTAGTAATATCAACATGCAATGACACAATTGACAGATGCCACTAGTTGCATGGCCTGGATGGCGTCAATGCTGCCAACCATGACATGAGCCCTAACAACCATTGGTTGGTAGATGTAGCTTCTCGGAACAGAGACGCGCTATGAACCGAATGTTGAGATCCAAAAGGTTAGTTCAATCCGACATTTATTTCCTAAATCGGAAAACCTTTCAGATAAACCTGAATATCTCAGGATCGATCGCAATGATACCATAAGGCCTTGGGATCGCTCTATCATCCCCCCATTCAACCCCCGCAATTAGGGAGGGGTCGATGCTACTTATGTCGAGTCTGGGCTCTCATTTTTATTATTATATAGCTGCTAAATACATCCTGGCATTCGGCTTTTCTTATGCGAAGCCCTAACTTACCTGACTTGGTTATACCTGGAGAGTACCTCTAAGAAAGTATCACAAGATGGGCGAATCAAAGGCGCTCGCCCATGATTCAACACGAGAGTTGTCCGAGGATGAAGATACTAGTCCCAGAGGTCATGACGGACTATGGATTCAATTTCTGACATGGGCACGGTGGTATCCAAAAGAGATGAATCATTTAGAAAAGCGACTGGTCCTGAAACTGGATGTCCTGATCCTGACGTTCGGGTGCCTTTCTTTCTTCACGAAATACCTGGACCAGCAGGCCATTACAAATGCTTACGTGTCGTAGGTTGATATCAGTGCATGGTCCTCAAACAATTTGACAGAGACTAACAGCCATCCGCAGGGGAATGAAAGAAGACATTGGACTCGTTGGTAACGAGCTAAATTACATCACAGCCGCATTCTGGGCAGCATATTGTACATCCATGATCCCTGCATGCTACTATCTGACCCGAAGCCGAATCAATATCATTTTGCCTACGTTGGAAGCCGGTTGGGGTCTATTCACGTTTGGATGTGCCTGGGCGCAAAATCCGGGCACTATCTACGCGATGCGGGTTCTCATCGGCATCTGCGAATCATGCTCCTTTACCGGCGTGATCTATGTCATTGGGTCGTGGTATAAGCCCGAAGAAATCGGTCGTCGGGTGTCTCTGTTCTTCATCGCATCGCCTTTGGGAACCATGTTCGCTGGATATCTTCAGGCCGCGGCGTATACAAATCTGAATAATACACATGGATTAGCCCGGTGGAGGTATTCATCTATCAGCTTCCTGTACGAGCATAACTTTCAAGACTGATAAGCAAGTCTACATACAGGTGGCTTTTCATCGTCTGCACCATAATCACAATACCCATATGTATCCTGTACGTCCGGACTCACAATCTCCGATACAGGGACAATACTAACTGGACGCAGGGGATATCTAGCATTCCTAGATGTCCCGCACCGTCCAAAACCCCGGTTTCTAACACATAAAGAGCACGAACTTGCCAATTCCCGCCTCGTAGGCCTCACAACTCCCAGCCAACTTAAAGTCTCCCGCGACATATTTAGGCGCGTTCTTGGCCGCTGGCATTGGTACGTCTTCGTTGCGCAGTGGATCCTCGTTGACCAGAACTTTCTGGCTTCGTCCACGCCGTTCAGTTTGTACCTCAAAGCAAAGCCGGACATCTATTCTGTCACGAGAATCAATACACTCCCGACAATTGCAACGGCTGTTTCTATTGTAGCAGCCTTGATCGCAGGGACTGTGGCCGACAAGAAGAGGAATTTCTGGCTTCCTTCTATTATCACTACGATTCCAGTTCTGTTGGGCCTTGTTTTGCTTGTAATTTGGAATGTAGGGGAGGCTGGACGACTAGCGGGCTTTATTCTTACCGGCGCTGAGGGTGGTAAGTAACAAGATCTCCCTTGCATAAACATATTCATCCTTATATTTTCGTCCCACCATCACTGTGAGATTGCTCTAATGAAACCGAACCGAATATCTAGCAATGAGCCCTCTCACAATGAGCTGGGCAACCATAACGATGGCCAATGATGCCGAAGAGCGTGCAATCGTGACAGCCAGCATGAACGCTATCGGTCAAGCTATGTCCGCTTGGACGCAACTACTGCAGTACCCAGCAGTGGAAGCCCCGAACTTCAGGAGAGGTTTTATCTCGAATCTGGCAACAACCGTGGCGCAGTTGGCGGTGGTTGCCGTTATGCTTTTGCTCACTCGTCGAGATGCTCGAAGGACGAGAGGGTCAAATTTATCGGCAATATAGTCATGAAGATGGCGGGCGTCGTGTACAATGCTGGGACTACTACGAAGTTTTTGGTTTTTTCTGTAAAAGCCTATTTATTTCAGAGCCACTCGTGTTGGTTAGTAAACTTGCCATAAGGTAGAATGGTATTGTATAGTTCCTATCTTGGATTATCGTGGAAAATCGCCACATTTCCGGCTCTGTGCTTTGAATCTGACAGTATACTATAGATAAATAACTATACGGCATACCTCTTACATAGTGGTTATGTTATCTTAAGTGATCGAGCACTAACATTCAGCTACAGCATTTATATATATATGTCGCTAAGAGCTTCAAGACATCACAGATACGTAGAATACGTAACCTATCAGTCGATTGAAAACAAATTCCGTATACTTCAATAATTTCGTGCGTGTTCGAGCATTGTACTTTTTTTTTTTTTTTTTTTTCTTTAGAAACGACCCACGCTCGATCGCTGGCGTGTTCATCAAACGTTAAGAATCGTACACCCCGATCTAGACGGTATGCAAAAGTAAGCGTTATATGAGTTATCTCTTATCGGCTCATGGATAAATAAATAGTGGAGAAGGGCGATCATTCTTCGACCAATTGTCTTTTAAGTTTAATTCAATGCCATTGAAAGGGCGTGGAATTAGTACCCACAGTAACCTTTTCAACAGGACAAGGTTGTCTACTATAACATCTCCTCAGTTCCTGTCGACAATTGCCCCTTCTCTTTATATATATATTTCCTTTGTCTATAATTTATTCCTCACGTCTGTCCTTGTCATTTCCAATAGAAAAAGACCATGGCCAATAGTCACCCCACGCAGCGGAAGCCATGGATCGAGACTCCGTTGATAGAGTCTGCGACACTTTCAAAGGCAGCAGGATGGTAAGTATATTTACTTTCTTTGTCTAGTACCGTTCCATATACTATTGCTAAATTCTATGTAGCCGGGTTTTCCTGAAGCTGGAACTGCTCCAACCCTCAGGGTCCTTCAAGTCGAGGTAGATCTGTCAAAACCTACACAAGAACTATCAAGAAGCACGAACGTAACTAAAATATCCATTGCAGAGGTATCGGAAATCTGATTCGCAGGGCTCTTTTAGATCCTGCAAATAAAAACAAGGAGCTTCATTTCTACAGTTCTTCCGGAGGAAATGCAGGGCTAGCCGCCGTCATCGCAGCCCGAGACTTGGGCTGCCCTTGTACAGTCGTCGTACCACATAGCACCAAGCCTCTCATGATTAGCAAGCTACGCGCTGCCGGAGCTACAGATGTGATCCAACAGGGATCCAGCTGGTTTGAAGCCGACACTTATCTACGGCAAAACTTCATCGAAAAGAACAGAGACGAGAAGGACGCTGATGCGGCCAAGAAACGGAACATCTACCTGCCCCCATTCGATCATCCAGATATCTGGAAAGGGGTGGGGACAATGGTTTCGGAACTTGCTACTCAATTACCGCCCAGAGACATTCCTGCGGGCTACGCTTTCCCGGCTGATGCGATTGTATGTAGCGTTGGTGGCGGGGGCCTCCTTAACGGGATTGTGGAAGGACTCGGTGATTACATACGATCTCATCCGACGCCAGACTTGGTAACTGGTACAACATTGAAGAATGTCCGTGTGTTGGCTGCTGAGACGAATGGAGCGGATTCTCTCGCGCTCTCGCTGCGGAGTGGAAGTCTGCAATCTCTTCCGGCGATCACGTCCCTGGCGACTTCTTTGGGTGCGCTTTGTGTGGCTCCTCAGACTTTGAAGAATGCTCAGTCACCACCGGCCGGTGTTGACGTTGTCAGTGTTGTTGGGTCCGACGCTGAGGCTGCGAAGGGAATCATTCACGTGGCTGATGAGCTTCGGTTGCAGGTAGAGCTGGCATGCGGGATCAGTGTTGAGATAGCGGAAGGGTCGAGGTTGAGGGAAGCTGTTCCAGATCTTACTCCGGACAGTCGGGTGGTTGTGGTTGTTTGTGGAGGAAGCAATATCACCGCGGAGATGATTGCTGAGTATCGGCAGAGATTGCAGAATGGATGGGAGTAGACATTATCGGATCTTCTTACTCGGTATATTGCGTAATACAAAATTGCAGTATCTATTGTTTTCAAACTATGTGTGTAGCAAGGTGAAATTTTCAGGTGTGCTTAACATTGTCTCCGGCATTGGGCTTGCATGTGCCACACTTAGTACTACTGCTATCGCGTGACTTGTCCTTCCTTTCTTTTGCTACAACTAACACCGATGCTATTTACATGCAGGAATTTACAACTAGGCCCAAGATCAAGGCTTCTCAAGGATTATAGACTCGTTTGTTCTGCAATGCACTTGCCTTCAACAAGCTACCACTGGCCTTGTCCCATGTCCTCGGTGCGAGACCTGAGACACTTCTTCATCTCTCTAGTTTCATGCAGAGATTCACTCGCGATGAAACCAAGGTCAAGCTTGTTGTGTTCCCGAAAACACAAGCTAGTGTTGGTAACAGATATAGCGACAGTGTTTCCTCATAACACTCCTCCTTGGCGGTATATTGTTGCTTAAGACTCATTTCTGCGCTTGCCATTTTCAGTCTCCTACCGTCTATACTGTCTCTCATCACTCACTTTTGACACCATCTACTATATCTTCTTTGTCACTTCTCTCTCTCATTTCCCTTCTTCTAGTGCCTTTACGCCACCTTAAGTTGAAACATGGACGATCAAACCATCAACCTAGCCCAGCTTCATTACATAGCTGAGCAGCAGACTCGGCACTCATGTATATGGGAGGGCCATGAACATTGTAAGTCTTCTGTCATAGTTTGTTATAGCTAGGGAGATATTCTAACACTATCTGTGCTAGCACACCAATACCCTAACTTCAAGGAGTTATGGGCGTTTGTAACACCGAGACTTCGCCAAGAGTACATCGAGCGAGTTGAGCTGCTTGCCTCATCATCTACGACGGCCGAAGCGGAGGCCGACTATGAAGGCAATTTAAAAATTCTCTATGAAAAATGTTTTGCAAGCATGACCAAACTTGAGGCTGAGAAAGCTTCGTCCGTACCCAGTGAGTACCACATGTGCTTGGCAAATCTTCAGCGCTAATAGTTGCAAGTATCCATGTTCAGAGCCCAAGCCGGTCACCTCGGTATACAGGTCTTAGCCGAATCGTGCCAGGCCACTGACGTTAGAGGTAGTAAAGACGGCGATGATGATGATGATGGTGCCGCATGCTCTCAGGATGAGGATGATGAAACGGCCGAAAGAAGTATTTTTCCGAGCCATGACCCAAGAGAAAATGAAGACCCCATGATACCTGTCCTGGAATCTTCTGTCGACGCAGGAGTGCTGGCGTTAGAAAATCTACAGCACGTCTTCGGTAAATCTGATATCTTGTTGGGCGACACTAACTGGAAAAACGACATTGAATTGGCACTTTCGTTTTCGCAGACGGAAAAAGTGATTATCGGGGTTGTTGGCAGCACTGGTGTCGGCAAGTCATCTCTCATCAATGCCATCGCTGATGAAGAAAATATACTCGCAACAAACTGCATGCGTGCCTCCACTGCAGTGGCAACAGAGCTGTCATACAACGATGGAGAGTTCGGGTACAAAGCACGCATTGAATTCATCCAACGCAGCGAGTGGGAACACGAACTACGCATACTCTTCAAAGAGCTCTGTGACAGCTTGGTGGATGTCAAAAGAGAGAACGTTTCAAAGGATTCTAATGCTGGGGTTGCACTTGACAAGATTAAAGCTGTGTACCCTTCACTGGAAGTGGAAGACATCACGAACACATCGGTTGAAAAGCTCTTGGAGGATCCCAACGTTTTAAATCTGCTTGGGAGTACCTTGATATTTGAAGAGAACAAACCCCGAGTCTTCTCTCGGAGACTAAAGTCTTACATCGATAGTAAAGGCAAAAGGCGCGGCTCGAAGAATGCTTCACAGAGGGGCAGCGATATAGGACTTTGGCCGCTTATTCGTGTGGTTCGAATTTATGTCAAAGCAAAGGCACTGTCTACCGGCGCTGTCCTTGTCGACTTGCCCGGTATCTTTGACTCTAATGCTGCGCGTGTGGCCGTCGCAGAAGACTATATGAAACGTTGCTCAGCTCATTGGGTTGTCTCGCCTATTAATCGAGCCGTGGATGATAAAGTCGCTCACGACCTTCTAGGACAGAACTTCAAGATGCAGATGCATATGGACTGTGCTTTCAATAACATCACCTTTGTATGCACCAAGACAGATGATATCTCTGTAAGTGAAGTACAGGACTCTCTAAGACTGGCGCTGCCGTCAGTGCAGAAGCGTGAACATCAAGATAAACTATGTGCTCAGTTACGAATTGAGGTGAATGAGCTTGACAAGAGCAAAGACCGTATTATGGACGATATTGGCTCTATTGCCGACGAGATCGAGGAGCTCGAGGCTAGTCTGTCCACTGAAGAGTCCCATTTGAGCCAGTCTGATAATAAACCCAACAAAGAAAAGATTTCCAGTGAGGTTGAAGTGAGCGAGACGACCGGCTCTATCGAGAATAATATGGCAACAGCTCCTGTTGATAACTCCACCTCTGAAGTGCAAAAGTCGAGTTGCTCTGAAACTGAAGACCGGACGAGGCAACTTCAGGCTCTTAAAGCCGAGAGGAAACAACTTGAGCATCAGAGACGTCAACTCAACCAATATATCAAAAGCAAAAAAGCAAAAGCCAAGCGACTTGAACAAGAATCTGAAAACATGAAAACAGAAATTATCCGAGAGTGCATCAATGCCAGGAATATCTATTCCAAGGATGAGATCAAAAAGGACTTTGCATGCGGCATCCGCGAGCTAGATCAAGAGTTTCGAGAGGATGAAGATGAGACAGCAGTTTCTGGCACAACTTTGCCAGTTAGAGACTATGAAAACCTGGCGAACGAACTTCCTGTGTTCTGCGTGTCCACAAAGGCATACCAAAAGCTTTGCGGTAGACTTCGGAAGGAGGTCCATGTGACTGGGTATACAAAGCTGGAGGATACTGAAATACCCCAGTTACAGCGCCATTGCATAAGTTTGACCGAAAAGGCAAGGGAAGTATCGGCACTACGATTTTTAGCCCAACTGAAGAGGCTGTTCCAGTCGATATCACTATGGTCGCTAGCGACTAGTCCGGCACATATCATGTCAGATGAGAAAATACGAGAATTGGAAACAGGATTCAACTTAGCCGTGGATAACTTAAGAAAGGTATGCTTCTTATTCAGACATCCTGGAAATTTTTACTTAGTCCATTAGGCTATGGAAAACATGTTCGCGAGCGCTCTGATGCACTTGTCGAAACATTTGACGTGAACATCGTCAATCGACTTGGTATGTTGCCCCATCAGCACTTTGCTCCCGTCTGACAGATGCGAATAACGTAGACCGAGCAATAAAACATGGCTGTGTGGAATTTCCTCGCATAATATCTCAATGGAATGCACCCTGGGCCGAAGGAGGTCTTGCGTTCAATACGTACCGAGCCATTTGTCGTCGTCGAGGAGTATTCAAGGAGCGAGACTGGAACCAAGAACTGTATGCAAAGCGACACCGTGTCTTTGTAATTCTAGACCATACTCACATTACAGCAGAGCCAATCCTTTGTTAGACAAGATCGTCGGCGGTTGGACAAGAACATTTTGTGTGAAAGTCCCTCTACAGCTCAATGAGTTTGCTGTCAGCTTGGAAGGCAGCCTGCAGGAGTTTCACACCAGAGCAATTGCCCTCGCGGATAGAAGCGCTCCCTCCGACAAGAATACTGGGATGCCGGAAGTGATGCTAAGTACCTATTGTAAAACCCTAGGGCATGAGCTCAAGCGGGTGGAAGCATCAATAAAGTCCGAGCAAAAAGAATTGAACAGAATATTTGCCAAGACGATTGAAACAGAGCTACACCAGGCGTATGAAGAGTGTGCGGAACAATCTGGTAAGTTCTCAATTTTTATTCTTTATGCGGGGAGTAAAAGAGGAAGGAGAACCAGGCGCCTTGGATTCGTACCCTCTCCAAGCAGGCGATACATTTCATCTAATTCTCTAACACATCTCAAATAGGCCAGTATTGCCTGGTCCGCATGAAAACCATAATGACTCGCCAGGCGGCAGACAATTGTTCCTATGTGCTTGGACACAGTGTCGAGCGAGCAGTACAGAAGATAAATGACCTGCTGAACATGACACGCGAAAAACTAGGGCAGGTGGTAGAATCGACCGTGAACCATGTGTCGCGCGACTACCGCACGGCTATCGTCGAACCTCAAATCCGCAAGTTCTCTGATGACCAGATAAAGCTCAAGACTGAGGTAACCGAGATCATACAGAGCACAGAGGCAAGGATACATCTAGATCAACTCCTGGGGCTTAACAAGGAATCGAATGGCCAGGAAGAATTATCTGTTGCACCTGAGGTCTTGAAGAGCGAAGAGGAGCCAGGATTGATGTACAAGGAGGAGATGCCCATTAAGGTAGAAGACGTATGTGGTCTGCACCCTGGACTTGATCTTCTGCAAACCGACGTATGAATGCCGGAGGCAGAGCGCGAGTCAAAATCAAATGGGCTGACATCTATGCGACACGAGCTACAATATTTATCTGGTACAGTGAGCATTCAACCTGATGTTTTCTTGGGTGGGAGATGGTGCAAGCAGTCAGGAGAACGACACTTTTATTTCAAGCCCTTTCGATGCGAACTTGGGATGATCTGGTATTCCAGATGTTTCTGGGATTTTTCGAACTTCAAAGGTGGATGGTTGAAACTTAATCCGATGTCTCTGGGAGACACGAAATGAGGTGCGCAATTGGATTGACGGTGCTGTTGTTTCTTGAATCTTTCAGTGCAGAACTTGGATGATTTGATATCTCGGGTTCGTGGAGGACACTTGGTTGTTGTTAGCAGCTTTTGGAGTTCATCTTCTCTGATATGAATAGGGTTATTCTGGAAATAAACCTTTCATTGAATCTTCTCTTGCATCAGTCTTCTGAATGTAATCACCGGCTCTGTCCCTGGAACAGTAAGACCATAAGCATCCAATCATACCCATAGTTATCAAGAAAGATACAAATCCTACGAAGCGAACCATATATAATAAATCATCAACATATCCATTGATCTCATCAGCTACCCGATAATGGCCAAGCCACTGGTATTTCGCAAATAAATCCCAACATAAACATAGCAGCATCGCAGAGCACACGCAAATGAGTAAATAGTATCAATAGGTAGCAAGCATAAGACCCAAGAGTATATAACGCCAGAATGTAGCCACTAAGATGTTCACTGTTCGTCTTCATCCATATTCAACACATCCCTGCTTACGGAGAGCAGGGGGTGATCTTTGGAAAAGCAGAAGGAGAAACGAAAATATAGGGGGAAATGGAGGAAGAGAAAAGTCACAAATAAAACAAGCGTCCCATCTATGCTAGGTTGGGAATGAATAAAAAAAAATGGTGTAAAACTGAAAAAGAAGATAAATGGTAAATAAACAAGCAAGGCAAAGAATCAAGTCTATCGCATCGTGCTTAACAGTCTGAAATCATGCAATGCACCGAGGGGGATATCGAAGACCGCGTATAGATGAAACGGCGTAAGATGGGTTGAGCGACGCAAGGTAAGAGAAAAGGCGGGAGAACGATGTCTTTCCCCTGATAAATGCAACCACAGACAAGACTTGTCAGTCATTCATTAAAGATTCCTTTTTCGGGTTTGTCCTTCTGTTTTCCTTTTCAAAATTTATATGTTCTGTTATCCCTGTCATGTTGGACATGTGCAGTCCTGTGGGGCTGTCGTGGATTAGAAGGGGAATCCACCAGGGAATCCGCCGCGAGATTGGCCGCCGCCGAAGGGGTTTCCGCCGGCTTGGGCGAATCCACCGCCACCGCCGCCGTTCATCATGTTAAAGAGGATGTTGGGGTCGATGTTGATATGGGTGCCGCCCATGCCACCCATACCGCCCATGCCGCCCATTCCACCCATACCACCCATGCCTCCCATGCCGCCGAAGCCGCCGAAGCCACCATGGCCACCGAACATGTCGGATGGGTCAATCAGGTCATCACCGTTATCATAAGACGCACGTTTCCTAAAACCTTTGTTAGATAGCCTGTATTGGAAATGACCAAAGACAAGAGGGGCACATACTGAGAATCGATCAGGGTCTCATAAGCCTCTCCGATCTCCTTGAACTTCTCATCACCTTGGGGATCATCACGGTTCTTGTCCGGGTGGTACTGGATGGCCAGCTTGCGGTAGGCCTTCTTGATCTCATGCTCGGAAGCATCCTTAGACACACCCAAGATCTTGTAGTAGTCCTTCCGCTGGGCCTTCTTGAGCTCAAATTCAGCCTTGCGGATCTCTTCCTGAATACCCTTCTCGGTGGGGTTGGACTCTGCCACGGCCTTGTAATCGCGCACTGCTTCTTCCCAGTTGCCAGCACCGCCGTGGGCCTTGGCACGTATCTTCTGTGCCTTGACATACGACGGATCCAAGCGCAGGGCCTCAGAGCAGTCGTTGACTGCGTTATCGTATTCCTTCAGGTTGATGTGTGCCTGAGCACGATTCTGTAAGATCTTCGCGTTCATGTCCTTGTTCGTCGGGTCTACCTCCAAAGCCTGCGACCAGAGGTCGATAGCCTTGCGGTAATCCTTGGCCTTGAAGGCATTGTTGCCCTCTTCCTTCGTGCGCATCAACTTCTGAACGGTACGAAGTAGTTTGATAGCCGACTTCATATCAGGATCCAAGCTGATACAGATTTTAAGGGTCTTCAGCGCCTGTTCCGTCTCCCCCAGGCCGTAGAATGCACGGGCACGGATCATAAGAGCGTCAGGATCTTGGTTGTTCTGTCGAAGCATGTTCATCGCAATATCCTGTGCCTTTGCAAACGAATTCTCGTTTGCCATCTTCAGCTGTGCTTCCGCGGTCATCAGGGTCCACTTGCGGGGCTCCTTAACGCCATTGCCCAGAAGCGCTCTCGCCTGGTCCAGGCAGAACAGAGCCATCGACACTCCCCGTTCCTGAGCCAGGGTCTCTTCCGCTTGGGTCACGAAACGAATCATCTTCTCAGCGGGTGCACGGTCGGTCGCCGAGGCGGGAGGATCCGTGCGAGAGAGGACATTAAGGGCCTCTGACGGGCGGCCCAGACTAGTGAGGATACGGGCCAAGCGGTACTGAATCTTAGCGTTGGACGGATCAAGCTCGAGAGCTCGCTCACAGTCCTCGAGAGCATTAATATACTGATGGGCGGCCATGTGCGCCGCCGCCCGGTTGGACAGGTACACGGAAGAATTAGGGTTAATCTCAACGGCTAAAAGTTTGTCAGCAGAAGTAATTATGAGTCTGTCGCAGCAGAGCACCCACCTTTGCTGAACTCTTCAATAGCCCGAGCATAATTGCGATCCTTGAAGAATTTATTTCCCGCCAACTTGAAAGAATCCGCCTCAGCGGTCGTTCCATTTGATCTATGAGGAGGAGGGGTAGGGCTCTTTTCGGCATGCGTTCCATTCACACCATTAGCGGACGACGACAGGCGAGGATCGTTGCTGTCAACGTCCATCGAGCTCCGGTCAGCAGCAGCAGCCATGGCTGATAGACGACGTAGCTCGTCGGGAGGAAGATTTAACGGATGAAGATCGGGGTCGGGCTTCTTGAACCGATGAACGGTCGAAGCACGGGAGAAAGTAGGACGAGAAGCGGAAGGAGAGAAACTGCCCTTAGAGGTAGCAGAGGAATGTGTCGGACGATGACAGGATTTGGAGTGAGAAGGAATGGACGACGACCGACTGTGGGCCGGACGAGTCGAGGATTTGCGTGGAAGATTCGGCTGATGAGGAGGAGCAGTCGCCGCAGCAGTGGGTTCGTACGGTGGAGGTGGAGGGGGTGGAGGATTTTTCCGGGTACTATACGAGTGACGGGGAGAAGAAGAGGTTGAAGGCGACGACGGAGGAAATCTAGGAGGTGGCGGAGGAGGAGGAGAAGAAGAAGAGGAAGAAGAAGGGACCGGCGTCGGATTTGGAGTCAAAGTTGAGAGATCCGGATGCTGAATTTGCTTGGATTTGGATCTCTTGGATTTGTGACGAGAGAAAAGTTGCGGAAGAACCATCGTTCTGATTGGTCGTCGCGGATCGAATTGCAACGAAGGCGGTGGAAGTTCAGAGTTTGATATCAATTCTCTCTTTTTTCCTTACTTCCGGAGCGGGAAGAAACAGAAAAGAGAAAATAAAAATAAAAATAAAAAAAATCAAGAAAAAGTATATCAAACGACAACGATCAAATAAATCGATTTCGGTCGCAAAAAAGATTCAAAAGAGAAAAATCAATACTCGCTGGATCACAAACAGATGTTTTTTTTTTTTTATACAAAGAAATCAATCCAAGTCTAGACAAAGAGTTCGGTCATGATGACAATGGCGCAGTCATAATAATATAGTTGTAGTTGTAGTAGTAGTAGTAGTAGTAGTTGTTGTTGTTGCTCTCGTCGGATAGTCAGCGTGGGAGAGGAAGATCGTGGGTTCACCTTGACAATAGTCGAGAAGTTGAAGAGAAGAAGAAGAAGGAAAAGGTGCGAAAAGCGAGGCTGGCGATCGCTTGAGTGATCAATTCAAACTATATAGGTAATATTATCTTTTTCCTTAGTGTAGACTTATTTATTTGGGGATTTCTCTTCCCTCCTCCACTTGGGAAAAAAAATCATGGAGGCTGGTGATTGAAGGTGACGAACTCCGCCTAGCGTGCAGCTTGTCGTCGAATCCCATCGATCTTTCGCCTGTCGAAAAGAAACGTCTCACTACTGCATCGCCAGTAACGGTCCTCCTCTTCAGTTCAGTCCAGTCAATTCTGTACGATCTTCTATCTGGCAGGCACTAAAAAATGAAAAATGACCATCCCCGTGGCTACCTGATCCAACAAAAATAAACCAGAGAGGGAAGAATGACTACTAGTATTTCCCCCCGAGCCGCCGACAACTAGGATCAGATCCACTCCGCCAATCCGTACGCCAGAAAACCAATTATAACACCAAATCTTATGCATGACGCTTTATTGTTTCCATAGCAAACTATCTTCCCTATACTCCGTACTCAGTACGGGATTTTTTTTTTTTTTTTTTAACACAAAGTACCGCCGCCTTCTTCCCCGATCAGCCGTGCCAGCCAATGCGGCCCACTCCCTCGGTTTTCCGGTGTTGCCTCTACTGTTACTCGTCTCGCTTTAACATGAGGTTCCACTTCTCTGGCGCCTTCTGACGTTGCAGGCAATTTTCTAGGCGACTCGCCGCCTTTTTCCTTGTCTCGTCCGTTGGTCATGGTGCAGATCCGCCTCTTCGGTTCCCAAGCTTCTACCTGTTGGACAGAGAACTGGCGGGCCAGAACGTCATGATCGCCACGTGGTAGTCGCGTGCCATCTAGTCCACCATCGACTCACTTGTTCGTCAGGTCAGTGAATAAAGTGAAACCCCCGAACAAGAATGGATGGGGAAGTGCGGTCGATTATAGTCCATGTATCGTATATACAATGTTCCGTAAACTTTCTCTTGGCAGACCATCTCCGTCACATTTCGAGGGCGGGCGGTCGCCGTTTGCAGAGAAGACTCACTCTACCTCTTGAGTATGGCATGAGCTGTCTTCACGTTGTTGAGAGAGGTAGTGACGAAAACATTTGTCGCTAGCAAGGCTCCTTTTTGAGTCAAGCCAGGTGGAAACACTGACAAGCGGGAATGCGTGATCAATATCCCTGATACAGACGCAAAACCTGTCTTCCCGGCTGCCAGATATTTGTTTGCAGGGTCAGGGAATTGCAACTGACTGACGCTTATTGATATAGGCCGCAATGCGGTGAGCCGACACCGGTGGCTTAGAGTTATAAAACACTTGTTGGAGTGTATGCAATGCTTCTCAATTGCCAAAAGGGGTCCGATGTGCCCTCCGCCCCGCAACGGCCGTCCACATTGAATCATGCGCGGTCATTCGTGACGAAGGCTCCTCCCGAATCACCCGCGGCGACGTTATCGGCTGATCGAATACATGCTGTTCATATGGGGGTGGAGGAGAGGCGGGGATGTCTGCGTCCCGCCCGCCATTATTCGTAAGGTATGTGTCCATCGAGCGAGAGTGAGTCAGTGTTGGCACTTGGCCGGAGAAATTCGTTGAGACAGTGATATCTGCTCGCACCCAGATATTTTGTTCATCGAGCCAGATAAGTTGGTGGGATGGCGAGGCGCTTTGCGTGCGAAAAGGCCTTTCTACTCTAGGATGCGGGTTGAATAAGCCCAGAGGAGAGGAGTGCCCCGGATGAGAGATAGGGCGGCGCGCAGCGGAGTAATCGACTCTTCGTTCAGAGGCACCATGGCGAATGTCATTCCCGGGGGTTAAGTTTGCTGGGTGCTGCATGTTGCTTCGTTCACGACGATGCCAGTTCACGCCAGATGCTATACTAGGCGACTTCTGTCGGGACGACGGCACCGGGTCAGCGGATGCTGGCCGTGGAGGATGGCTTGGCAAGCCATCGAATGCTTCCAGTGGTAACGCTGAATAATCTAACTGTATACTGGGGACACCCGAGTAAGGATTTGTGGAATGGGGCCGATGAATGATAGGCGGGCCTTCCAAGGACGACAGGTCTATTGGGTTCATCTGGACGGCGACGGTGAATACAAGCCAATGTCGATCTGGGGAACGGTAACAGGCGAAAGAAGCGAAATGATTGAGGAGTAAAGGGCCGGCCGCTTTCGTAACTATATTATTATACTAGATCATTCCAAAGCCCCTGCCTAGGATAAGTGGCACGGCCGAGTACGAAGTCGTGGAGGCAAGATTCCAAAAAAAGTGATGAATACGATGATTAACGGAAGGGCCAAGTGGATCGCCACACAAAATGCGTCTTTGGTAACAGAAGATGTCTAGAAAGCATTTAAGTTCAATCAAGCAAACCCCTGCGAGATAGGTTTCCCTATTCAACTTATATGATCACACATGGTCGAAACGTCGGACAATGCGTTGAGGCGGTGCTCGATGCAGCTTCGAGTCCTTTGCGTGCTTCGTCCAACAGAGAGAACAGCACAACAAAACCAACATTTCTGCGCCGCCCCATGCATCAAGGATCCATAAGTGGATTCAGCCCTCTCCTCGGGATCCGGTGATGGGCGGCCCCTAAGACTAAGGGACCCTACTTAGAAGGTAGATGCCGACTGTCCATCTCGGAGCTTCTATTCCAGTAAGTCGATCAAACATGTCAGAGTGGGAAAAGTGAAGTTGACACCGCAGAAGGCGTCCCATGCACTTTGATTATGCCCTGCAGGATTCTACAAAATACCCAATCTGATTAGTACGACGGATAGGGATTTGGGGTCGAGTTTCATGAACTGTTGGAGCGGTCGACGCAAGCGCAGGCGATAATTCGGTATACTACTCCAGTAAGTAAACAAAAAGGCACTGGCCAGTAAGAATGATTCAAAAAGAAAGAAAGAAAGAAAGAAAAAAAAATAATAAATGGATCGAAGCCAGTCCCTGGAAAATCGGGGGAATTGGATCTGGTAGGGTTCAATTATCGCCACCACGTCCCTTTTCGCCGTGCCGAGCAAAGAAAACCGCCTCCAAGTGGGAACATCCCATAAGCTGGAGAAGATTGGGTGGAAATTAGCTTCTTTGAGTCGGTCAGCAGGAGAGGGAAGAGCAAAGCCTTGGGGAAAACGACAAAACATCAACACTGCCACGGCCGCTCTTTGTCATCGCCGCGCTATGCCTCATCATCCATGGTTCGCTAATGGATTACCGCAGATTTTAAAAATAATTCTACTAGTTCTTCTGTCCCTCTCCCATCCCCTCTTTATTAATTTACTTCGTGTCTATGGAGTACTATGATTATGATGATGATAATGAGTATTATTATCCGGTCTGCACATCTGCACTTTTATACGTACCGACAAGATGGCGCAATTCCCCATATCATCCACTACTAATCGGGGCACTAAAATTCTCTAAATCGGGCAGTGTACGGAGTATGTACTTGTAACAGGAAACCCTTAGCGAGACCACGAAGATCATTCTTGATCTCCTCCTTCCTTTACCTTCTAGAAAGCATTTTGCTGGCAGTATATAATGTATTGAAGAACTCCGTTATAAGTATATCCAACCAGGCTCAATTTCTTTATCCGACCGGCCCGTATTTTCCGTTTTTTTTTTTTTTTTTTTTTTTTGGTTCTTTTTTTCGCCCACCTTGGCCCATAAGGCTGGTGGTTACACGGCATAAGTTCTGTACAATAAGTAGTAGTACTAACTACTAAGAACTAGTACTCTGTAGGTATATTATGTATAGATCATTAATCCTAGTCCGGTATTGTCACTAGTGACCTTCAAGTGGGAACCGGAGTACGCGTCGATTCTACTTCCTCACTTGGCCCTTCCATCGCGCACTGATCTTGCATTGGAGCGTTTGATGGATATTGCCCATTGCTCCATGCATATATGTATGGACATGGGGATGCGACAATGATGTCTAATTATACATTTTCTTTACTTTCTTTCTTTCTTTCTTTCCTTTTTTTTTTTTTTTTTTTCCCTTCTAAACTCTCATTGTTCCATTATGATATTAAAATTGATATATCGTGATTCATCAAAGTACACTTATTCCAAAATACCAAACCCAAGTACCTCTCCCACAATAGATACATACGCCTCCCATCCCATGGCACTTCTAGGCTCCCCAAATACAATTCCCTAAATGGGTAATACTAATTAATTCCATCCCGTGTTGAACCCTACCACCGACCATCACACCGCACCCAATTTCCAACATCCCCTCCATCACCATCCCCAAACACCTTACCAATTCCAAACCCCAAAACCATAATCTATGATATCCCAATCCAGTTACTATAATAATCAATCCGAAACCCGTCAGCCCCCGGGATCCGGATCTGAAATCGCTATCTCCCGCATTCCTGGTAGATTCCGATCTGCGACACGAGCGGGTCCCTTTTCATGTGCAATCACTGCCAATCAGACGTGGCGGGTGGGAGAGGCTGATTGGGGGGCTGAATCTGGGGAAGTGTTGGTCTTTTTTGTTTTATTATGGGTCAGGATTGGGGGGGGTATGAATCATTTTCGTTTTGAGGTGTGGGATAAGAGGTTAGTTATGATGTGTAGTATGGAGGGGATTGAGTAGTATTTTGTAAATTGGGTATGTTATATGTATTGTATACTGTAGTGGTTGCAGTTGGGAATTACTAGATTTGTCTACTAGGTCAGTGGGGGAGAGGGTATTGAACTTGGAGTGATGAAAAGGTTGTGAAAGCGTCATGGCTTACATTAAATCGTAAACAGCGACCGAATCGCTTCACATCTTCGAAGCGATCCAGAAGCCAAACCAAGAAGAGTAACAAAGAAAAAAAAGAGGTATAAAGAGTATGTGTAAAATATGAAGCATAAGAAGTCAAATGGTATTAACTCTCCCCAAGAACCACACACAAACTAAAGACAAACCCCGTCCAACTCTGGTATCATCCACACAGCACGTCCATTACTAGATTTCCCCCCGCCCTGCAAGCGGAGCCGGACTCACGAGTGAATCGGGGCTACACTATTGACAAGAAGGGAATTTAAGCCAGGAAGAAAGCGGCGGCGGCGGCAGCACCGGCAAGGCCGAAGGACTGGCCGACGGTGTTGGCGGCACCGGTGAAGAGAGAGCCGGGGCCGGAGGAAGAGGGGCTGGGATTGTTGTTAGTGTTTTTGGTCTTTCCTCATGTTTGGAGGTTGGGGAGAAACTTACGTAGCACCGCCGCTGGGGGCAGGGGTACCGACAACAGGGACGGAAGAGCTCTTGCCAGGGGAGACACCGGTGGGGGTGCCAACAATGGTAGAGTAGGTGACGGTGGGGATGCAGGTGGTCACAGCGATGACGGTGGTGCTGCCCTGGCTAGACTGCTGAGGAGGCTGAGGGATGACGGGGCTGCTGCTGGAGGGAGCAGGGGGGACGCTGCCGCTGGGAACCTGAGGGGGGATAACAGGAGAGCTGCTGGTAGGGACAGCAGGGGTCTCAGCGGGAGGAACCTCAGAGGAAGATTCGGCAACGGGAGGAACCTCAGCAGAGGAGGTCTGAGCAACGGGAGTCTCAGTGGTGACAGCAGCAGGGGTGGTGACTGGCTCAACACCCTCAGGGGTGGAGGTCTGACGGCCGGGGCAGTCGGTGACGGTGGGAGCGCAAGAGGTGATGGTCACATCCTCGGTCTGGTAGACGGTGTGGACCTCACCGTTGGGGAGGGCGGCAGCAAGGCCGGCGAAGAGAGCAATGGTGGTGGCAGAGAAACGCATTTTGACTGTAGGTTTTCTAAACACGAGATAATATAACCGTCAAGGTTGATTTATTGGTGTTTTATTTAGCGGTAGGCTAAAAAAGAGAGTGTGGGTAGTTGGTTTGGTTGGTAAAAGAATGGCTGACCGAAGTCAAAAAAAGTTGATATGCTTCAAGCAGGAAGTTTGGACTTGAGAGAAGGAACGGATTGAAACAAACGAGAGAAACGACGGGGGAACCTGGAGGCTTTGTATGAACCGGGAGATTAACCTGGAGATCGTCCCAGGGACGAAAAGGGGAGAGGGGACTGCAGGCGAGTGGAGAGGGCTGCAGATACTGGCTTTGCTAGACTCTGAATCTATCAATTGGTGAACTGTAATGCGGTGTGTTTCTCCAGGAGAAACAAAACAACCTCGACTAAATCCAATAGGCGGGCGCTTCATCATCTGGATGGGGCCGCCATTCTCATGGGGCTCGTGGGATGGCGGTTTGAAGCATCATGGTTGGCGGATGTGGCCGTCGAGAAGAACGACTACTAGTGAACTAATTTACTAGTTTCGTGATTAGCTTCGCTGCCACAGCTGGTTCCAGTCAATGCTTGCGCTGCTTGGGTTCAGTTCAGGAAGTTGAGCGCGCTGATGATCTGTCGGTCACTTTCTTGATTCAGTTATAATCACGAATGGCAAAAGATCATCATAAACTATTTTCTTGACTGTACAGTAAGACCCGAGTATTTTTATCCCAGACAATATTGTCGTAGTACTAACACCCCTACTAGTAGTAGAAGCATGGAAATACTACTAGTGGTAGTAGTAAATCTTGTTGCCATTACACAATTGTCATTGTAACATCCACTACTAGTAGTATGAAACAAAAAAATTCCCCGTCCGGAAATTAGCTCTGCGCCCAAAACAATCATTGAGTGATACATCCATGTATCCTGGGGCAATTTCAGGGGAAAGTATTTTCATCGGCCAAGCCACAAGGACGTTGAACAACTCCCGATAGATGTTTCAAGTTTCTGGGTCAAGCCAATCAGGGTCCTGGAGATACTTCCGTTCCTGACGCCATACTCCACTTATTCAAGTCGCCAACAGCCCGCTGTGGCTCTTGGGCTCCACCCATGGGCCAATGACTTGAATACCTAAGTCCCCAGTGGGTTTTCAGCCCCACCAACCCCTGTCTCTCTGCTACCATTTTTATCTCGATTATTTTTCTCAATGCGAGGCAAGTTGCTACAGAAATGATCAATTTTTGAGTAGAACAGAATTTTCTCTTCCTTCTGTAACCATAGAGTACGGAGGGATCTTGTATCGATTTTTCATAAAAGTCACAAGACTCGGAAATGGGGTTTAAATCAATTTTTTAGTATCCTTCGACCCAATGGTGCTCTGCATCACGGTTTCCTTCCTCGCGTCCGACATGATAGTAGGACGTGTGACTGCGCCTACAAAGTGCTGACGGCCGGTTCCGTTGGTAATCGTCAATCTCATGAATAACGCAATTGTAAAATCCCCGAATAGGGTTCAGACATCCATTTATTGTTCTCGCCACACAATCGTGTTTCTCCGAGTAAAAGCTCTTCATCTAATCCCTGTCTCTGTCGGCGGTCTAGAAACGCAGCCGATGTATCTAATCAGCCCTGTTAATTACATGAAGGAAGCTTGGCTGATTGTGCTTGACTCGACAAGACTAGGGCTCGACTAGACCCTGGTCGGTGTCATTAATTGCTTATTAACGCTAAGACTGCCAAGGAGGGTAAGGATAGCGTTGTACGAAGTACTCTGTACAGTTACTAGCATTCGTTTACACCCTGGTCGGGTCTGGCCTGACTAGTCGATATTCGCGTTGTAGTGTCAGTCATAGCAATAGTACTAGTAATAGAAACTTTCTGGTAAAATGCCGAATCGATTAGTCGTGGTTAGACAGGATCCCCTCTGCTCGCGCGAGAAACCATTCGGCTTGCCCTCGGTACATGGAATCGGGGTGATTGCGCCATCAAAACCTAGACATGACCTATGTAACGTCTCCCAGGCCCGAAGACGCTGAGACATGATTGTCGATGAGGAATAGAGTCTGGTAGAGTTATCAAACTATTGAAGAACCTATCGCTCCCTGAACCTTCTCCGGAATATTCTGTGGGGACAAATCACCCAGAGTGTTCGTGGGCTTCTTTTTTTAGGACTGTTGTCTACCGGATAATTGATAAAGAAAGGGGTGCTCATCTTTCCGCAGAGAGTGTCCACACTTCAGGGGGGCCTGCTCGAAATTAGAATCGGGGATAGGTAGGACTAGGTAATTGACTGATTGTTAATCTCTCAACGGGATCTGGATATTATCTGGCATGATCCCGTTGCGACCTTAGACCAAGTCGAGCCCAGTCCTCAAAGACTATGCAGCATTAGATTCTATGGATGCGTTTGGAGAAAACATATTGGTGCTCTCAGCCGTTCGCACAACATA